CATCCCCCTGTCGGTGAACACACCTACGCGACAGATCATTGGCTCTCCCACCCAAAGAATACACCGACCGCAACAGTTATATACATAGTCGTTCTGGGTGTAGTTTAAAAAGAATCCTTGAATTCTGAAAACTAGAGGGTATCATTCGTGATTTAACATAAGCAACACATTACTTTATTGTAGGGTGAGGAACATTGTAATGCCATATGCTTCCGAAAGCAAATGGGTGAATCCACCATCCAGTCGTCCGATTCTTATAATCACTGTGTGGGATGCAGTGGCCCTGCTTTGGACGTACAGTATAAGTCGCCCTCCAAAAATGAAATGCAATTACAAGATAAAGCCTCCAAGAAAGAAATTCAAAAATCAAGCTGCATATCTGGTGAAAATGTTGTCGATCCTTGCGGTCAAGATTACGGAAATGGAGATGAATCAGTATGTTCGCCCAACCGCGATAAATCTCACATTTTCCACTCGGAGGAACAACATCAAGAATTACCTTTCCGGAGTATCGATTCGTGGCAAGTGGGGAGTGACGAAAGAAGAGAGAAGACAGTTATTTGAAGTGAACAAACGGGCAGCAGAGAGGAGAGTAAAAACGATGAAATCAATGTTTTCCAATTCCAAACCGAGGAAAAAATGGAGGGTTGCAAAAATTCCTGGGGCCATTGTTCAGAGTCGGTACCATGGTGTGCTCTTCATGGGAAGAAAACTACCCGAAATCGCCGTGCTACTTTGTATTCCCGGACAGTAAACCTAGATGGATTTACGATTCATCCCTGCGTTCATTGTCAAACAGTGATAGATTCGACTCATCTGGCAATAATCCGTCCTTGGTAGTCGAAATAATCGCGAATGAGTCAGACCGTTGTCGTATTGCAACCTCTCTTGATATAGAGGTACAAACAAATAATCTTCGAAAAGATAATATGAGTTATTATATATCGGAAATTGCAGCATGCGGCTTTAACCATATAATTGTTATTGGGCTTATCATGGATGTGATTGCGGCTTACTTTTTCTAGATGTGTATTCAGATGGGACTCTATGAGTGGTTTATTATTGTTTATCGGAAATTTTTTCAAAGCAGTATCAGAGAAGCCTTGTGAAGCAGTATGGGCCGTATCAGGAGATGGATCTGTATGGGAACTTGATGGTATGTACACGTATTCTGCTTGTTCTTTATCTTAATATAGCTAATTCCTTTTTTCTAGAACCGGATTCAGAAGAATGCAAGAAAAAAGACCAGAAAAACGATAAGAAAAAAGGCAAGAAAAAGAATAAAAAAGGGCGTCGTTGATATGGACGTATTCTGGATCCTTGAATTTCGATTTATGAAATTATGTTTATAATAATTATGTCGGGCTAAATAGCTATTGTTTCCGGATTCTTTGTGATCGAACATCAAATATATTTGCATGTGTACTTGCATCGAAAAAATAAAATACTCTTGAAAAAGAACGTGCACGTGATTTTTTTACAGAATCCATATAAGAAAATGTTAACAATTTATGAGAACCAGTTTTTATAGTTTATAATACCTTTCTCCGGACAAGACATTGTACATTTGTGCAGGAAAACGTTTCTCTTTT